ATCGGGACAAAAACTTCAATGTTCCGCTGCCCTTCAACTGTTCTCAAAAAAGCTAGTTGCCCAGCTAAATTTGGAGGTACCTGTTTGATGGTTTTTTGATGCGGGATGAAATAGCTAATTTCAAAATTTCGAGACAAGTTTAAGAAAAATTGCATAAGACTGCCAAAAAATAATAATTTGATTTGTCCAAAAGCGTAACTTTTTTTGCTTAAGAAAAAATATGCGTAGCTGGTTTTGTCCAGGAGCTTCTCACAACCCTTTATAATCATTAAAACCAAAATCTCAGATATGGAAGGTAGTTTCCGAGAAAAGAACGAGTTTGAAAAAACGGTCGAAAAGACACAAGCATGACTTTTCCGAGGGTCATGATTTTTTTCGTTCAAAATTGGCTAAGCCTCTAGAATCTGGAAATTTTCCACAACCCGTGTTTTCCATTGAACCCGAAATCTCGGCGAAACTGTTTATGCAGAGGAGCTCTCCCCCGCAACTGTCCTTTCGATTGAAATTAAAATCTCATATTGAACGGGAGTTTTCGACAAATGTCAAAAAGTTTCAAAAAATTGTAGAAAAAAAGTTGAAATTTGACTTTTCTGAGGTCATAACTTTTTGTGTAAAATAATTGGGACTTAAAAGCTTATACAGGGGAGCTCTACTCACAATTTTTTTCGAGTCAATTAAAATCTCGGATTTTGCGGTGGGTTTTTTTCGAGAAAAGTCAAAAAGTTTCAAAAAAAACGGTCAAAAAATCGAAAGCTTGACTATTTTAAGGGCTATAACTTTCTGTGAAAAGCATTTGGGCGTAGTCGTTAATGCAGGGGTGCTTTTCATAACCTATTTTATCCATTGAATCCAAAATACCAGATTCGGTAGGGTACTCTTTGCGAAAAGTTAAAAATCCAGAAGTTTGGGTCAAAAATTCCCACCGCACACTTTTTCGAAGGCTGCAGAAAGTGGGGTAAGATTAAAACAGATTTTGCAAACAAACAGAGGAGTGAACGTAATTTACATTGGTATCACTTTTTTGAAAAATGGTTGTGTAATTGTTGAGAAAAACTAAATCTTAGAAAAAAGTTTAAAAAATTCCAAAGCGTCTCAAAAAACTAAATAAACCAATAATGAATCCGATCCTATACACTTTTATAATACCTGTTTTTATCAAACAGGAGTTTTTGGATGAGGCATTTTGATATCTTTACATTTTGGAAGTAAACTGAATCTGCTTAATAAGGCAATATCAAAAAGATAGTGTACTGATTTGCGTGGTATGAGGAACTATTTTGATCACTTAGATTGCGTCGATTCAATTCAAGTTCAATTATTTTGAGTTGGGAACACTTCACGACGCTAATAAATATCGCGCTGATCATTTCAGCATCATAGATACATTTTCAAATAAGTCCACCAATATGGACCAACTGGAATTTTTCAATCCTCAAAAAAGTTATCAAAAATTACTGCATGTTGCAGATCTTAATTAATTTGATCTCTGGGAATCGATATCGTTCTTGGGGTGCATTTTTTTGATCTGACGTAAAGCTATAATCTAGGCATATTAGACAAACATATTAAAGGCAAATTGGACAAAAATTTTTGCAGAAAACTGAATAAGAACTAAAGAAATATTTTTAAAAAAAGTTTTTGGTTCACACAAAATGAAACTAAAAAAGTTCCAAAAAACAAGTTTTACTTGCTTAAAATTAAGTTTTAAGGTCTTAAATAAGGCATAATTCGTAAGCCTGCTCGCTTGCTGTGTTAGCTCGAATTAAGACGAAAAATAAAAAAGTTCAAATCGATTTTTCTCGACTTTGGGAAAATTTTTTGGAATTTTTTCACGTGGTTCAAATTAAAAATTAAGACTACAAGGTCTTTAATATGATATATCACTCAACTCAGTCCGGTCATTATTTGTTGTACCTCATTTTGCGTGGAAAACAAAAAAAAACTAAAACACAGCCGAATACAAAGTTATCCCCCATTTTCAATGGTCGGAACAAAAAGCACACCGAACATGAATAATTTGTAATATTTGTTCCAAAGTTGAAAAATGAAAAGTTAGTTAAAATCACAATACATCCATGTCTCGAAAACGAAGTTTTCGAGATTCGCCTCGTAAGCTGCATCGTTGTTTTGGGCGAAATTCAATAAACCTCTTGTGATCACCATTTTTCTTCTCAATACCACACAAGGCTCTTGAAACGCAATCAAAGTTTTAGACCAGGCCACAATCTTTTTTCAGGTAATCATCTGATTAGGTTTAAAGATAAGAAAACATATTGAACTCAACAAACTCGAACTCATTGGAAGTTATAAGAACTTTTATTTTAAAATAGAAGAACTTAAATTACAAATATTGCGCAACATGTAAAACTTCTATGTGATAATTAGAGAAAAATAGCACCCATCTAATTATCTAACAATACCAAATTTTTATATCTAAATAAACAAAAATTCGTCTCATATTACAACAAAATTAACTGAAATCTTTTGAGGTCAAAACTAGTTTTCTCTCCACAGTTTTCTTCAGCTCAATGCATCTTGCTTTCGTCAACAGATCGAGCAAAGTTTCAAAGTGGTTTTGGATCACAAAACAGTCTAAAGTGTTCATTTTGTAGGCCATTACTTCCCAGATACTCAAAATTAGATCACTAGCTATTTTTCCGAGATACTCAAAATTTTTTCACGTGGTTCAAATTAAAAATTAAGACTACAAGGTCTTTAATATGATATATCACTCAACTCAGTCCGGTCATTATTTGTTGTACCTCATTTTGCGTGGAAAACAAAAAAAAACTAAAACACAGCCGAATACAAAGTTATCCCCCATTTTCAATGGTCGGAACAAAAAGCACACCGAACATGAATAATTTGTAATATTTGTTCCAAAGTTGAAAAATGAAAAGTTAGTTAAAATCACAATACATCCATGTCTCGAAAACGAAGTTTTCGAGATTCGCCTCGTAAGCTGCATCGTTGTTTTGGGCGAAATTCAATAAACCTCTTGTGATCACCATTTTTCTTCTCAATACCACACAAGGCTCTTGAAACGCAATCAAAGTTTTAGACCAGGCCACAATCTTTTTTCAGGTAATCATCTGATTAGGTTTAAAGATAAGAAAACATATTGAACTCAACAAACTCGAACTCATTGGAAGTTATAAGAACTTTTATTTTAAAATAGAAGAACTTAAATTACAAATATTGCGCAACATGTAAAACTTCTATGTGATAATTAGAGAAAAATAGCACCCATCTAATTATCTAACAATACCAAATTTTTATATCTAAATAAACAAAAATTCGTCTCATATTACAACAAAATTAACTGAAATCTTTTGAGGTCAAAACTAGTTTTCTCTCCACAGTTTTCTTCAGCTCAATGCAACTTGCTTTCGTCAACACATCGAGCAAAGTTTCAAAATGGTTTTGGATCACAAAACAGTCTAAAGTGTTCATTTTGTAGGCCATTACTTCCCAGATACTCAAAATTAGATCACTAGCTATCGCTTCTTTGGGCGAATCTTCGGGCGAAGAGCTCTCATTCGTTTTATTCACACCCAATTTCGAAGCTAAAATCTCGGCTCCAGTTACAAGTTGTCGTGTTGCGTCATTTTTGGAATTTTCCTCTGAAGTAGCTTTTGTTGGTTTGAGTGACGTAACAAAGGTGGTGTCATCGATGACATAACTGTCTAGAGCGTGAACTACCTTCTGTCTGAGGGATCCTGTGATGTAAAAAACGGGACAATCACGAGGCAGTTGGTTTGAGAAGAGACATGGCTGGAAAAAAGCATTCGATTAACATCTGAAAAAATCTCTACCCCGTCAACCAATCAGGAGTCAGCGGGTGGAAAAATTTTATCGCTTTAAAGAAAACATCGTTTAAGTTAAAGCAAACTTGACTAATTGAGCAGCCAATTTCAGCTAGTTTTTTGCATTCGAAATTTTAATTTTTTTTTCAATTCAAATAGGTTCATATTTTGACGTTTACATCCAAAATTCATTATAATCTCAAAATTTCTGCTGAGAACTTTAGTGAATTTTCCTTTTTTTAAACGTTGGTTTTCTAAGCTGTAGCTATAGTTTTTTCAATAGATTTTAAAAAACAAACAAGCTATTTACATCTGGGGTTAGTATTTACCTGAGGTTGGAACTGTTTGCCCTTGATTGGAAGCGTAATTGCAATTAGGTGTGATTGCTTCGACTGTTGCAAAGTAGTGTCTCTACTACTGTTGTTGCTATTACTGTTCTCTTTTCTGCTAGTCGGAACAATCGCCACTTCTTCTGTGTCGGAGTAGGTAGCCGAGGGTTCCGATTGGGTTCGGGTGATGTTCAGAAATATCTCTGCTGGTCTGTGTACATTTGTGTATACTGTGTTGGGGAAGTTGAAACACATGCATTCGAACATGGTTTGAAGACGCATGATTTTGCCAATGTCAATTTCCTAAAAACAAAAAACAACAATTACAATAAAATAAAAATAAATAACCTTCGAGCTACGCATTTGGATGCTTAACTTGAAAAACACTCAAAATAATGACATCCAACTTAAGTTGAAGATGATCCGACTTTTTTCTGATAAAATAAAAAGATTAAATAATAAATTTGAATCTTAAACATTCGTTTCGGGGTTGATTAATATAGTATGTTTTAAGCGTTTTAACAGGGGGCGGATCTAGGACGATTTTCTCGAGGGAGGGTGGGGCGGATTTCTAAAAAAAAATCGAAAATTTTGTTGACCTTTTTTTTAGGTCGACCAAATAACCAAATTGATTTTCCGACCTCCTCCAAAGCGCTACAAGGACCCTGAAAGACCCTGTTCAGGCCTAAATTTCAGCGCCGCAAGCAAAATTTTGAAAATAGGCCAAAAATTGCTTTTCTTCGGCGCGCGCTCCGCTCTCAAGATTAGTATAAGTTGGCGCCATAGGCGCCTTCAGAAAAATTTTAGAGTCCGTTACCAAAAATGGATATCTCAAAATAGTACAAAAAGGGGACCGTTTGGGTCGGCAGGGGGTCGTCGAATCTTTGCTTTTGACAACATAATTAAGAAAAAGTGATAAAATTTATTTATGAGAAAATGGAATCTATTTAATTTTTTATCTGGTGACAAAAAAAACAAATCTGAGAAAACCTACATGAGCTCTTGGCGCGCATTCATTCAAAGTGAACTGCAGTTTGATGTTCTCTGCTGAATTCATGAAAGATGACTCATGTATCCCACTCGCAGTGACGTCATCGCCGCCTTCGGAATGAGAGGAAGAATACGACGAGGAATACGACGAGTGAATGAGTTGGGTGAGTTTGAAAGGAAGTAGCTTCTGATTGGCCGCGAGGTGAGTCATGATTGAGTCCACATTCTCACACTCGCCTTCTTCGTTCTCCAAAACCGACTGAAAAAACTCATTTTTCAAAGTTTTGCTCTTTAAATTTATTTATGTTATTTGATTTTTATTGGTATTTTTTTCTTACTTTTGACAAACTTAATATTGGAACCCACCCGCGTAGTAAAACATACATACATGCTAAAATATTTATAACACAATCAAAACATAATGGATTGCTTGACCACGCCTTACGATTGTCAGTTTGGTGATTTATGACATGAAAGCAAATTATTAGGATTATTATTAACCGTTATCATAGTTTGAGATCAAACAATCTCCTGCCGCAATGAAACTGCATTACCCGGCTTAACCTCTATAGCCCAAATACGCTCGTCATACAATTCCATTCAAAATGTCCATAAAATGTACATAAATAATACAGCATTATTGATATCTGCTTTGTGAAAAAAACTTCTTTTGAAACTAAATTTGCACTTGCTTAACTAGCCTTCTCTGATAGCTAAACTAGAAATACTGGATTAGTTAAAAATTCATAATGGTCCAAAAGTATTAGCATATTTTTCGAACAAAACCAATTCTGATCTGAAGCAGCCATTTTTATTAGATGATAAACGTTTTTAAGCAGGTAAAGTAAATTATTTTGACCAATAACGTAGCTCTGATGTTTAACTTAAAATGATTTCTTGTTGGGCTTCCTAATCATTGACAAAACTCCAGCAAAAACTCTTGCGCCAATGTTGAGAATGTGAATGATTTTGTCATATTACTGCTTTAGAGCTAGTTTTTAGATCATGGCATATTCTGATGATGAAGTTAAGTTGTTTTACACAATTTCTAGATTCGTTCTGATAAGTGGCTAGGTATGTTCAAGGATTACTGTGTTACCACACACAAACACAACAACTTATAGTCATAAAACAGAAAAAAACCTGCTGGAGAAAAATTTGTCATACAATTCCATAAAATGGAAAAACGCCAGTCGTAGAACAATAAAAAAAAACTGTGAGTAGCTTCCCAAATGACTTATATGGCCCAAACTTTTCTGGATGGCACAAATTTCAAGTTTTCATTGTAATTCAAAAGTGTTCTATCTATTTTTAATTCTAATGTTTTGACAGAAACGAAAACATGTGAACAAGATTTGGAATTAATTGCTCTCAAACAAATGTTAAGGAAAAATTGACCACAAGAAGCTTATTAGTAACAGCAAGCTTATGTTTTTCGCTTTTAATAATAAATTCTGCAATTTTTTCAAGATAAAATGTCAATCAACATTTGAACTGACAATTTGACTAATTTTCCCACATGGTTCTTGAAAAAATTGTTCTCGACATTTCTAATGCAACTGTTGCATGAAATTTATGTCATTTAAGATTTTTTTATTTTTATGCCATTTGGGAATTATGCCATTTGAGACGTAATCCAAATCGTGGCTCTTTTTCCTTTTCCCCCAACCTGCAAATTTTGATATTTGAAGTTACGGTTCACTTTGTCCGATTGTCATGAAATTTGACATGCCGACTAACTAGGCCATGACAAGTATATTTGGTCTTGATAAATAACCTTGTAAAACCACTCGTTAGACCATAAAAGTCATGTTTGAGTGAGGTGGGGGGAAAAGGAAAAAGAGCCCAAATCGTGCATGAAATAATTGGGCAAGGGTTTATAAATTGTTGACTACCACTTAGACAACTGCTTATTCAGACTTGTCAGTAAGCAGACACACACTATATTAACTGAGACAAGGAAGAAATGAATAATTAAAAATTACTTATTTCGTAAGTTTGCTTTCTCATCTCAATTCTGATTGGTTAATATGGTATTTGTCTGCTCACCGACGAGTATGAATACACGGTTACCTAAATACAGACGCCTCCCCTAAAATGATTATATAAAAACAGCAGTTTTCTTTTCGCATAAATCGATAGCTTTCAAAAATTATTGCTAGTGTTGCGATCTGACTGTAACAGAACTTGAAAATAACTTCGGATATAGCTGCTGTTTTTACTACGCAAAATTAAGTGCTCTTACATGCGGATAGTATGAGGTTTAGTAAAATATCATCTATGTGTTTCAGTAGTCGAAATGCATATAAACATTTTGAAAAAAATCCTTGATTGGCGACTGGAATGATCTAGGATCTAAATTAAGAAATATTAGTTTGTTTTGACTCAATTTACTGCATACGAGCATTTTTTTGTTTCGGCAGCTTGTTTTTTTATTTCAGGCTGTTGACTCATTTAAACTTGACACTTTTTCAATAAATAATGTGGCGCCAATTGTATCTTATTAAGTCAATTTATTTCAGTTTTAACACAATCATAGTTTCAGATAAATCAAAGAAAAATGAAACAGTTGGCATTTTTCTGATACTTCAAAGCCATGTTATATCGAATTCCGTCAAAATAATTTTGAGTTCAAATACAAGTTTTATTGAAAACGAAATTTGATCAAACCTGGCGCATGAAGCGAGTTGGTGTTAAATTATAACATATTTTCTAACTTAGTTATGACTTCGTCTTATAAAGGCTTAATTTATAAGGGATAGACTTGCTGTTGGTCCTAGACAGCCCGGTGTGAACAAATCCAGGAGGATTTGAATATAGGAAAAGACGGGGTGATTTAATGGGATTCAGATAAATGCAGCTATTGATCCCAGCACGGGTAAAATAGCCCGAGGCAGTTAACAAAGTGATCAGTTATCAAAACGAAGGATTAAATATATTGGCCAATGCACCCGTGAAAAAGAAGATACGACGAAATGATTAATTGGTCTATATTAAAAATGAAGGTTTCTTTCCAAGTGTGGTACGTGATACGATCTGACCATTCGTCATTTATGGGGGGCATAAAAAAGCCCACCCTCCTAACATAACAACCCAAAATGGAGAAAAAACAGGTGCTTCAAAATAAAACGTAAAGACAACCTCTTGAAACCAAGTTAAAATTAGATTTTTATTTTAAACCTAAATCAAAGAAGGAATTACAAAACAAGTCAAAAGAATTTGAAAACCAGGGTTTATTTGATTGCAAAATTAATTAAATATTCAAAATACAAAAGAGTTTCCGGGGGGTTTCCCTATATCTCTCCTAAGCTTCCATGTAATTCTAGATCCAACCCAAAGATTTTTGCAAAAAGTTAAGAAAAAATAAACGTTGAGACTGTTACCTGCCAAGACTCGAGCAGGTCTGGGAAACAATAGACTCGGATAATCAAGTCGTCATCCGAAACACACTGGGGCGAATGAGAGGCGAAAACAGCCACTCGAACTCGCTTCGCAGTCGGCGGTGTCAGTGCCGGTGTCGCGGAAACAATAGTCCCCGAGCTATCCGATTTTGGGTAACCGAGCACACAATAACTCGGCGCTAGATTGCTCGCAACAATATGAACAGAGCTCGCCGAAACGTAAAAGTCATCATGTCGTTCTAAATCACAATTCGATTCGAAAGTTTTCACACTTAAATGGCCAATCGCGATTACTGAAATCGACCAATCACAGTCGTCCAGAATGATTTCATCATTGTTGTAAGATTGTTCACGAGGGTTTTTAGTGTACACAAAATGAGGTATAGTCAAAACCAATGGTTTATGAAAATCAACATCTGAAGGCGCGACTGTAATAATCGGGCTAACAAGTGTACAATTTTTGGGCAAATTTAAACTTTTTCGCACCAAATCGTCCGACAAACTGAGGTTTAAATTTGAGTAGTGCTCAGTTGTATTGACAGTTAGAGATATTTCGGGTTTCTTGCCGGTTTCAATAGCACTCGGCGGAACTACAAGGGATGCGCCGAAATCGGGGATTGAAATTCGTCCTCCGGCAGCGCCGACGAGTCCACGGGCGGTGTTGTAATCGAATGTTCTGGAAGAATCGTTACGACTGTTGAGCGAAAACGACCCGAACCCACTGTCTTCTCCTAGCGGATTCGGGAGGTTCTTAGCCGAGTTGTTGCGAGAAAGGAAAGCATTTTTGGCTGAATTGTCACTAAGAGCTGCATTGCAAAAACTTCTTCTCTGAAGCTGCTTGTCTCTGTGCTCTAGATCGGAGGAGAAATCTCGGTCTAAAAAACCCGTTTTTGTAAAAAAAAAATTTTAGGTACTTGAACGTTTGAGTTAGACCTGTGTTTATAGAACTTAAAAAATATTCAATCTTTGAGATTGATACTTGACTATAAAAACTAACGACAAATTTTATGAGACGAACCTTTCGAAATGATGTCATAATCGAAGTATTCGTTTTGGCTTCCAAAGTAAGGATCTTCATATTGAGGACTTTTCGCACCCGCATCTGAATATCTGGGATCTCCGCCTTCATTGAAATCCATGGCTTTCATCGAGCTTGCATTTCTCATGTTCTTGTGATTCGCAAATGACAAATTCGCCGATAGAGATAGAGATCCGAACGAAGGATTCCGACCACTATTGTTGGATGTCGCTACACTTGGACTCATAATAGTCGTGGGCACTTGATTCATCATTGAACCCACAGGCGCGCAACATGACGTAATCATACATGGGTTTGTATGGGATGTCGGGTGTTGCTGTTGTGGGTTATTTGTGGGGGGCATAGGGGGACTACTTGGGTTGTGGTAGAAGTTATTTGGGTTCTGATGGGAAAGGGAAGGGGGATATATGGATACTCCAGGGGGCAGTGAGTGGGGATGGCTTAGATGGGAGGCGGGTAAGCTGTGGTGACTGTTCGATGGAATAATGTTCTGAACCGGAACTGAAACACATGGAATTGCGTGAGCAGATTGAGAAAAAAAATCAAAAAGGTGTGAAAAAAATCATATTTGTACAAGTTTTATTGCAGCTCTTCAAATGTTTTAAGAGACACATGCCATCGAAACACTGAAGAAATCATAACTCAGCTTTCGATAATCGATGATTTAAATTATTGGCTTGCTTTTTAGGTGTAATCGTTGTGGATAATTACTTCGCTTTTAAAATACGAAGCATTCGAAAGAATTCAATAAACTTCGTTTTCTTGAATCACAACTTTTTCATTTGCGGCAAAACCATTCACAACTAATTTTTATCAGTTTTTAAACAAAAAAAAAACAGAAAATCCAAGATTTGCTGTTGAGAATTAACTAAGCTTACATATGTCAATGTTGTAGCAAGACGCACATCCATTGTGACTTTGCAAGAAGGGAGTTTTGTTCAGGCCACCTAAAGTGCCCATTTCATTCATAGTGTTCATATTGCACGAAGGCTGCACGCTGTTCACGAAGTTCGCGTGATTCGTGCCGAATTTAGCCTGATGATCCCGCTTTGACCTGTGACAGAAGCAGCCGAAGCAAAACATGGCGCCACAACAGCAAAATGACTCGTCGTTTTTCGCTCTAGCCGAGACGTGAGTCGTGATTTTGTGCGACTCCAACGAAGAGTGTTTAAGAGTTATTCCTCTAACCGATTTTCTTTTTTGTCTTTGCACGCAAAGCAACACGACAACAATCGCAGAAGCCACCAAGAGGAGAATTGAACACATGGCCATGTAAAAGTGTACGCGGTTGTCAGAATTTCCTGAAAAAATAACTAAACATAACTCGATTCAAACTGGTCCATGAAAGCTTCAACTCAAACAATCTATGAGTCGACCAAAATGAAACCTTAAAACTTGTCATGTTTGAGTAAGTAAAAATTATCGACCTCGAATCGTCTTTTGAGTAGAATGTTTCTGTTATCAAAACTTGAATGTTTTCATCATCCTCGTATCTTTTAAATTATGGCGAGAAGAAACTTTTCCCCATTTAGATTGATTCCCAAGCTGCTTAAAAGATGCCCATTTTTCCACCCACCTCTTTTTTTGCCAGGCGACAAAGTCACTTCTCCTGTGTTGTCAACAATCGGACCCTCGATCACGAACGCGAACTCACAATCAGTCTCCGAACAGGGTTTGAATTGAAACGAGTCACCCACACACGACTCGGTCGAAACTGAAGACGAGTCAGTTCTAACTTTCGCAGACGAGAGATAGTCGAGAGAACAAGTTCGTCGGCGATGTTGGTTACATGTCGACACGGGTGTGTTGTCGTCGGGTTTTTTGGTTTTGTCGTCGGATACTTGAGACTTGAATTCGTCGGTCGGCGCTTGACAAAGGGACCACTGGGACCAAGGTGTCCAGCCTCGCTCGTCTGAAAAAAAAACCCAATTTTTAACGGCTGATTCATATGTTCACATTTTCCGCGTCACTAAAATAAACCAGTCGCGTTTTAGAAATATAGCGATATAAATCAAAATTTCTTAATTTTTCCGACTTTAGATACGAAAATAACGGAATATTTGTTCTCGGGGTGGGTTTTTTCTTCAGACAAAATTCGACTTTTCAACTAGCCATTTTTGACGGAGTTTTTTTTAGGTATCATTCAAAAGGTATTGTTGTCTTGAGCTTAAATTTGAAAAGATATTTCACCTGTGATTATTTTTCGTAAAGTTATGGGGGTTTAAAGATTGCCATTTTGGCCAATTTGGGTCAATTAACGCGCGATATATTTCGCGCTACTAACGCGTAAGCGGAGATTTAATTCGTCTTAGAAATCATTGAAAATTGGTTGAAAGAAGCTTATTTGCCATAATTGATTTGTTACCAGGAGCAAAATCTATTCTTTTGTACTTTATATGGCGTGTGGGGGGGGGGGATGATTTTCATTCAAAAAAAATCAAATTAAAAAAAAAATCATTTTATTTTATTACGTTTAATTTTTTATGGTTATTACTGTTCTATAAACTTTAAAAGGCAGTCGGAACATTCAGGGCTTCGCCCTGATACGAGCAGTCTTGTTTTGATTTATGGTTGGTAGGCTGCATAAATTTCGTTTCATAGTTCATGGATTATTGGTCAAATACTGGAAGTTCAATTCCCAAATCTATTATGCGTTAAATTTATTATTACTAGCCATTATTGCAGTATCTTTATCTATATACTTTTAGAGTGTTTGGGTAATTTATGTATGAGGTATCAATACCACTCCGCCTATTCGAAATGCACTCTCTATAAAACACCCTCTGAAATGTATGCCCACTCCCTTTATGAGCCCATATCTTAATTGAACTCTAATGATAACATTAGCTCTGCCCCCTTTGGCAGACTTTTAAAAAGCCCCAGGGAACTTCTGTTCCTTTAGACCTGCCAAATTCACCCGTGAAAAGTTATAAAAAAGTTCCACAAGATATTGTATATTACTCTTAGTCATGCAAATTCGCTGCAATTTCGCGCGGGTCTAAATGAAGCCCTACTTTCTAATCCGCGTCACCTCTCGCCCTCATTAATATTTCAGAGAAGTGACTTAATTAGTAATGAAGGGTAGAAATTAGGGAAATTTGAGCAGACGTGAACAAAGGCTGATTTAACACATTCATCCACATCTTCATAAACCCAAATTGAAATGCAACCTTTGGGAATTTCAGTACTCTTAAATGTCTAAGTAGTAATTGGGCACAGAATTTCAAGAAAAAGGAGTAAAAAATCGCTATGGAAAAAAAATTTTAAAATGAACTTCAATATTTACTTAGAAAAAATTGGGCTTTTCAGCTTTGTTTGATTGTGAAAATATTATAACCATTAAAATGATTTTTCTTCAATTGTTTAGCCATCTAACTGAATGCAAAAAGTAGCCTGGTTCTTCTCAGCAAAAAGCATTACCATTTGAAAAAACGATACTTTGAGTGACATTGGGACCGCCCATCTTAAAATATGCCTTAAAAAACCAACCCAACACCTTTGTATCTTTATCCTCTTAAAGATCACTCGAATTGGGTTTTGTAAGAAACATCGGTAATACAACTAAAGTACTTTTTTGATCGGTTCAACTCCTGCGACAGCTCTACCGCTATTGAAATATAAACGAAACTTTTACATTTTTATTTAAATTTATTTTACAATTTTTCTCATGCTGTGGAAACTTTTGCAACTAGCAAAGCTGATAACATTTTGAAAAAAAATATATAATTTTAACAAAAAAAAATCGATTTCAGCCGTTGTGAACTTAGCGTGGTACCTGTCTTCATATCATTTTAGAGCCTCAAGAAGACAAACAAATCTTGTCTTTTGTTACCAACAGAATTATATCAACTTATCGCCAACTGACAACTAAATTAGAGTACATTCAGCGTCTTAGCTTGTCGCTGGGGGCTAAATTCTGTCAGAAACACATTTATAGATGCAATAAATCTCAAAAAGCACACACATCGCTCGTTCATAAATCATCGGGTGGGGGACTTTAATGGATAAGATCAAAGTATACTTGACAAAAGGTTGATTTATTCCGCTTCACAAGAAATCAATTTCAATTAATTACTAAACCTAAATAACGGAAACCTTTACATTAAAGCTTTTTGCCAAAATCTGATGAAACAAAGCGTATATAAAACATAATTGATTAAATTGAATCAAAAGCAAATTCATTTTTTTTATTGCTCCCGAGTTTCAATAAACAAAAAGGATGAAAGAACCGTGGATATTTAAAAAAAAAAGGAATTATTCGACGTCTAATCCAATTTGGGGTTCTAAGATTCTTGACAATCGAAAATAGATTGTTCCAAAATTTTTAAAATAAACATTTCATTTGAACAATTCCCTTCTAAATTAGTATATGTTGGCGCCAATGGCGCCTTTAGAAACATTTTAATCAGGTCTGCCAAAAATAGATGTCAAAAAACTAATACCAAAGGGGGACCCTTTGGTTGGTGAGGGGGTCGAAAAACTAAGAAGGGCAACCATTCCATCCCCCTCCCCTAAATCCGCCCCTGAGCTTAGTGGTAAATCAGAAGAAAAAATCAAAAATGTTTGACTAAACTTTAATATATGCCCTTATCAAAGCTATCTGCAAATGATTTGCCTTTTGATATTATTGTAGTTGTTGTTGTTCTATTTTAATGGTTGTTTTTCTATTTTAATGGCGTTAAATATATGCGAATAGGGTACCTACAACCTAATTCCACCTCCCACCCCCTCAAAAAAAATCACAATAGTTGGGTGTGATAGTAACAGAGATCCAAGTAAATGCATAAATAGAACAGTACAAACCAGGACATGGTTCCACACAGTTTTGACTCTGTCTTCTCTCCCCCACACAATCTGCTCCCCCGTTGTCCGAGGGGAGGGGGTCTGTACAACTTCTCTCTCTAGTCTGTGTGCCCCTCCCACAAGACACAACCCCCACAGCTGAAGTGGGGTCATCACTCTCGTTGGATGATGCAATGACGTCACAGCGAGACCACTCGGACCACGAAGACCAGCCGCCGTCTCCTGTGAAATACAAACACCAAGCTTATAAAGTAAATCACTTTAAGATATTTAAGACTTTTTACCCGCGACGTAAAAGGACCGACAAACAAATTGTTCAGACCTTTAAGGGTAACCGTCACAGTCCCCATAATGCCCCCATAACAAAAAAGTACACGGAGGCGTTTCTATTTGGTTTTAGCTCGCATGTAGTGTTGTCCAACCATAAAACAACGAGCAGAGTTCATAGTTACAAACCGTTTGATTATTAACAGTTTAACATACCTATCAAATTAAAAGTAGCAATTTCAGAAACAAAAAACAAAAATAACAAGGATAGCCGGTTACTGTACAAATAAAGTAGCACAGAATGTTCCGACTATGGTCTTGAAAAGCCAAAACATATTCGAGAGTCATTATAAATTAGGCAAAATGTAAAACCGTTTTAGAAGAAAAATGAATTGGAAAAACAACAAAAACAAATCGAAAAAGAAGTTTTTTTTTTGAAGTTTTTGATTCCCAAAATGGCGCTTAACAAATACAAAACCTATTTTCTGCGTAAAAATAAATTTCAGGGCGTCAATTAGGCATAAATAAGCTATTTTAAGACTGATCGCTCACCTTTTTTGCTCAAAATTAGAGCAAAAATCACAAATTTCAAACGGGTTTTTCTCGACAATGAGAAAAGTTTTCAAAATTTTTCAAAATTTTTCAATGTAGTTCAAATCAAGATTGAATGGGCTTAAATAAAAAATATCAATCGACACTTTCTGATATTTTTTTTGGTATCTGATTTTGCGTAGAACAAAAAACCAAAGAAATTAAAACACCCGAATACAAAGTTCCTTCTCATTTTTTCAATGGTCGGAACAACAAGATTAGGTAGTTTTTCGATCAATTAGAAGCACAGTTTCTCGATCAAATAGAATTTTCTCACGATGGTCAATTATTAACAAAAGTACATTGTCGCTGTGTATGGAGCACAGAAAAGTCCGACCACAAAAAGAAAAACTCGAAGACATCAATTTTTTTCTTTTATGTTTTTCCAATTTAAGTAGTTTTCATGCACAATGTGGTGCGAGGAATCAAACAAAAGGTAATAACATTGTGAAATGAATCAATTTTGACGCGAATTTTTTTCGAAAACAAAAAATAACAAAAAATCTTTTTTTGCCAAAGAACTGCTAATGAAACTTCAAAAAAAAATTTTTTCACGGCTTGAACAAAAACGTTTTATGTTATTTAAAAATTATAAAAAATAATTACTGAAACAGTTCCAAATTAAAAATTCAAAATCGGTTCCTCTCGAAGAAATCTAATTGTTAACCAAAAGTAGGTCAAAATTACAACTTTCAAATGTGTTTTTGTCAATCAATTCAGGACTAAAAAGGCTTCAATATGATAATTCACTCGACCCATTCTCATAATTATCTGTGATATCTTTTTTTGAAAGGACAAAGCTGAATTAAACCCAAGGACAACGTTCCTTCCCAATTTCAGTGTGCTTCAAACGAAGATAGCCAGTTTATTTGCAGGTTGCACAGAATGTTCCGGTCACTATGATTGAAGTAAAGTTGAAAATCCAAAATCAAATCAATTCTTAAACTAATATAAATTTTTTCAGTTTTAATCCGTTTTTGTCTGCAACTTCTTGCTGTTTTCTTTAGTGAAAGACAATTGAATTTGGTACTAAAAAGTGCAAAAGGAAGATGTAATGAAAATTAAACTATTATTATCGATTTTTTTGGAATCCAAATTACGACTTCCAAGGATTTAAAATGATAAAACACTTAAACCTCTGTGAGCTTTCAAACCTCTGAACCTTTCGGCTTCTGTGTCACTTCGAAAATCTGGTAGAGGTATTTAAAATAGGGCAAAAAAGGACTACTCAATCTATAGTTCCTTCACCACTCAGTCACTTAAGAACAAAAATCATAAAATCGTTTGTTCATTCTTAAAGGTCCGTTTGTAAAAAACAGTTTAATTGGTCAGTTTTTTTGCTTTAAAAAATTCAAAAAAAACCAATGATGCATGCAACCTCGTTCTGGTTATTAATTTGGACATGGCAGCTTTATTTACAGAATCTTCACTACAATCTCATTAATACGACAAAACATAATCCATTTTTTCTCTTATTTGAAAAAAGCACTCCTCGTCAAAATTCAATGCAAAGCACAATAGCCTCAACTGTTGAAGAGTTTTTTTTTCAGCTGTTTTGTTACAATAAGTATTCAGTAGACAAAAAAACTCAAACTAAGCTGGACTTTTAACCGATCAATTATACTTGCAGAACAAATTCATCTACTTTCGTCTACCTCTTTGGTTCGATTAAAATTTAATTCAATGTGAAAAATTGGTTTTTCTTTGTCTCGGCGGAGCTTTAAAAATGGACAGATTGAATCATTTATTAGACGCTCAATTGTCTGTCAAGAAAGGCTGTCATTTATTTTTTATGCCAAGACAATTTTGAAAAGCTGTTACAAAAGGAAAACATGAAATTATCAAAAGAAATAACATAAGAAACGTAAATTGTATACTTTTTCTATCATGCCAATTTAATTTATTTTTAATAAGTTTTTACTATACGGAAGGCAGACTTGCATTTTCCTGTAATATTCCTTTAATATTTCCTTCCTTTTTCGGCTTCTAGTAACGGAAAAAGCAAATAACAAAACTTCAATTTTTCTGTGCATGTCATTTGCAACTGTTCGGCTTAATGAAAGATCTTTTCAATTAGGACAAAATGAGCTATTTTAAATTAAAGATGAAGATGAACTATTTTCCTTCTGCCTCAAAAGATGGTTGCTTCGGTACACTTATAGTTGACGTCGATCAAAACGTTATCTTTCGGTGTGATGACTTGCAACTCTTAAAAACGTAGCTGTCTAAATGTCAACCCAAATATTAACATGCTCTGTCAAAGTTTCATATTAACATTAAGAAAATTATAACCTTGTTCTCAATGGACTATGGATGAGTGAAAACAAAAAAGGATGGAATTTGTTCACGGATGGTGAATGATGGCTAAAATTCATAATTTATGACTACCTGTTTTTTTTGCAAAACAGAATTCGCCCCAACTCAGATCAAAAAAGGCCGTCACGCTTTTGCTTTTTCCGTTCCAACTCAAATTCCCTCCCTTCTCGCGCGCTCCCGCAGTTTAAAAAATGGGTGATTTTCAAAAACTTATTTATCGTGTACAAATTGAAAGATACGCGGTCAAAACAATCTGTGGTCCAAAATGATAACACAGCTTCTCTCAATCATGATTTGTAATTTCTGTAAAATTTTTATACACAATCTTGCGTCTAGGTATAAAACTATTGCAAAACAAGATCAGTCATCAGAAAACATAGTTTGGCTACAACATTGGAAAAATGTTCATTTTTTTGGTCATTTTATCAAAAAAGTGTTTTTAGTCAAAAGGTATTTTTGTCGTTTAATGATGTTTAAGTTATCTTTTTGCATTAAATCTATAAACTAGAAAAAATTCGAGGCGTATTTCGTCGATGGTTCGTTGATGGTGACGCAAAAAATTGCTTTAGACCATGAGTCGCCAACACATCGCGACGTATAGTCTATTACTACCAGACAAACTGGCAAACATACAAGAAATCAAACAACAAAACAGGGATTTATGGAGCTAATTTTAAAAATGGCATCTAAATCAATTCATCATTCTGAAAACACCTGCAAATCAATTCTCTGATTTTTATATTAACTATTCATAAAACAAAAACTGAAAAAAATAATGCGCTCTTTTGCTTTTTGCGGCATGCACGACTTTTTTATTACTGACGCTGAACCATAAAAAATGTTTGAGAGATTTTTTAACCGGGAAACGACATGTTTATTACACAAACATGTGCTAGCACGAAAGGCATATTCTTTGTAAAAAAAAAGATTAAATAAATTATTACTCCCAAAGCCATAATGGAAGCAAAGGATTACTCGTTATATAAGTTATTTAAATCTTGAATCTTAAAATAAAAGGTTTAACTAACCTATTGTCACTAAGACATTCTGTTTGTTTAAAATTAGGTCCGATTAAAATGTTTCAACTAAAACCTATTTATTCAAAAATTGGCTCATAACAAACGAAAAACTTCAAAGTATTTTCAAGCAAATATTTACCGACCGTAAGAGCAAATCATACCATTAATTAGAATAATATTTGCAACATTAAAAACAATAAATTACATCTCGACCCAGTCGGGATTCGAACTGAAAGTCTGTGGTGTGTTAAAAACATTTAATGAGACTTACGATATATGGTAATTGACACAATGTGAGACTGTCGTTCGCCAATGACATTTGAGGCCATGCATGCGAACCTCCCCGAGTCCGCGAATGTAGTCGGAGTTATGACGAAAGTCTGATTGTTCTAAAATAGAAGTACACTTTACCTCAATGACCAAAGCAACGTAAGAATTGTCACAAGTAAAAGAGTTTATTTCACATTTTAAACTCTCCTTTTAAACACAGTTTTTTTTCAGTTTTCGTAGAAAAACACTTGCTATTTCTATGAAAACGCAGAAAAAATCCCCACAAAGTTGTTTTTCTGAGTGAAATAACATTTTACTAGCTTAAAAATGTTATTTATCAATAAAATTTGGAGGTTACAAAAAATTGAATACAAAATTGTTTCCATTCACACCAAGTTTTATCCATCATTCTGATTCATCGGAATTTTAAACAGTCAATTAATTATTTCACACTGGGCAAAAAGAAAAACTTGTTCTAGCTTTCAAAGAAAGTGACAAAATATTTATGCTTGGGGTGGTTTTCAATATTCAGACCAACTTAGACTTTCTAAGTAATCATTTTTGACTAAGTTTTCTATCTCATCTAAAAGATATTGATATCTTGAACTTAGGTGGGTTTAAGGGTTCGGAATTTCAAAAAATTTCAACTCGACCAATTTGACTTTCCAAGCTCTCCCATAACACTATAAAGACTGCCGGAAATTTTTTGAAAAAAAAGAAACAGGCAAAATATGGCTTTTCCAGGCACTTTTTGGAATCGTTTGACCGAAATATCGCTTTAGTGTATATATACTAGCCCCAAAATAGCCTTTCAAAAAATTTGAGGTTTTGTCGACTTAAATTTCAGAGAGGCACTTTTCCCAAAACAGTCCCAGAGGGAGTCCTCTTTGTATTGCCAGGAGGACAAACTCTTGATTGGAAACCCACCTAAATCCGCCCATGATTCCATCTTTAAAACATTAAACTTTAAATTGTTAACTTTTTCAGAATTTTTTCAATTCATTTACATGCATGAGATATCTTCGGTTTCCGCCTGTCATCAACTCAGCCTGCGTCCCGTCACCGAGGACTCTAACGACACCGCCTCTGTCTTGACCTTCTTTGACCTCGTTGACCTCAGGGTCTATTTTGTACCAGTTCACAACAGGTGGAGGAGTGCCTTGGGGTGGCACGCATTTCAATTCCATCGCCTCGCCCAAAGCTATGCGTTGACTTATCGGCTCCTGTTCGAAATCTTTGCGCAGGCCTGAAAAAATATCGTATTCATTATCATTATCACAAAAAAACAGTATCAAACTTTGTTTTTTTTTGGCGCCAAAATTGCTTTAGAAAAATAGTAGTAATAGTCAGCAAAGAACAAAGTAACAAAGAATAACGAGGGATGGCAAGGGTGTTCCATAGTCTTTTGAAATTCTCTTTCAATCGAAACAATCATGGTTCGAGCTTTACCACAATGCTGATTGCTCACATGGTCGACATATACAGTTTTTTTGGTTTGATTTGTCAGTTTTTTGCGAACGAAATTCTAAGAGAGTGAGATTTTTATGAAGAGCTTGAACCAAAATAAGGCGTGTGTTTTGTGAAACCTTCGCGAAAGTAAGTCATTGGCATTTACAACTCACAAGAGAACATTTTCAATTTGCCTCAGAATATTTTATAGATCAACCGAGAAATAAAGAACTGAAACATTCAAAGATATATGACCATTCGGTCGTTAAAATCTATTTTTGTCTGCATAGAAAAGTCGGTCAACACAAGTTTATTGACAAAATTATACCCAAGACGGTTATAATTCCGGGGAATTTTTAACAGCCATCAAACTTTGAATATTCTTTAAGAGTCGAAGAATTGAAACAAGACTAAATTCATTTTCCTTCACCGTAATTTTCACCCTTGAAAACATGCAAAAAAAACAGATAAGATATATCAAAAGTTAGTTGCAAAAGCTGAAAACGGTCATCGTTTTTGGTCGAAATTCAGCTTAAAATTAATCCTTGCTCAAAACTGATTCATCAAAAAAGGATTAAAATAAATTAATTTTGAGCCCCAAAAAATCCTTTGCTTCTTTTTATATTAAGTTTTAATCTTTTTCCGCTTTTTGGGTATTTTTTCATTTTCATTATTTGATCTTGTATATTTTTGCAAAGTTATTCCCCTGAACGGTTAAAAATTAAAAAAAAAACTAACAAAGCGTGAGGTCATTAAAATCCAATGAAACGAATAAAAGAGCCCCAAAAACAATAATCCCCCCTAGTCTCCATAGAGAAATGATGAATATAAAAATTCAGTTCCATTTTTTTTAGTTTATTTTTCATGAACATAAAATCATCTTAACTCACAATATTTGAGCTCCAGAAAGAAGATGAGTTAAATTGAGTCATAACGATAAAAATAGCCTCTTTGAATTGCATATGTTAAAATCAACAACTAAATTTAAACTGGCACTCAAATTATTAAAGGAAATTTAAGAGAATAATTTTGACCAAAAAAATTGCATGAAATTCTTGACCAGGGGCGTAACAACGGTTATGCATAAAAAACTGAATAGCTCGTGTGTTGGTGTTATTGTGTTGTGATGGATAAATCGTCGTAATTAATTTTGTTTGGCGGTGCCGATATTTGCATAACCACTTGAAAAATAACTTTTTCTTTGAAATATTCACTATCTTGTAAACAAGCATTTTTAAATCTTTTTTTTAGATCTCTGTTCAATGCTCTTAAGGTTGAGTTTGAAATACCGAATTTTCCCCACAAAAGTTTTTCGCTGTGGTAGCTGCAGATGCCACAAATGAATCACCAGGGAACTTTTGTGTTCCTCAGTTTTTCTTCTTATTTGCTTCCTACCTTACATATGTCGCATTGGTGTCACATTATGATTCACATACAATCACAAAAAAAAAGATAATAATTCTGCTCTGACGTTATGGAGTTAGTTAAGCAACCGATTGTATTGGATTTTGGACGATTTCCTTGATTGATATTTCATTAATATTAGTAATCGAATTTGGGCAAGGTTAGGGTTACGATTATGATCATCAATTTTAAAGGCTTTATACCATTAAAAATCCTTATAATCAGTTTTTATAGATTTTTGCTGCGAATTAATTTTTTGTTGTTTTTTTTTTAAATTGAACATACAAAGAGCTGCCGATCAGATATTATTTCAAGAATATGATTTTAACTTCTCGAAAATTGTATTCAACACCTAATCTGAACCGTTTTTCAACATTTGAGCAGGGATATTTGTTTTTTTTTTTCAGTAAGGGATCCTTATCAAAAATAAAAAACTCATGCGCAGCCTTTCGACACGATCAGCTGGTCCTAGCGAAGCCACATTCTTCGCGAACATATTTTTGAATCAATAAGAACATGAAGTATAGACAGGTTACGGCTTCAGATCGCCTTTTATTTCAGTCGGCAAACCTATCGCAGGTATGCTAATTAGTTTAGTAAGATAAGTCAAATTAGTTTTAACCATTTTCTTTCGCGTGCAATAGTCTTTATGACGGGACTTGGTAAGCAGCGTGGCACCTGATATTAGCCCAGACCAGGAAGTCAATTTTGGGAGCCATAGATAGGTAGGAACTTGTACTCTATTAATCAGTTTTGATGTTTTCCTAAGACCAATATTTTCGACAAGCAAAATTATATCGACCGACTTCTAGACTCCTAATTAAAGTCTATTCATAGTCAGCTCAATTATGATTTCTTCTCCAGTCTGTAAAATCAATTGGTTTGAACCCAAGTTTTTCCATTCTGTAAGCTGATTTTTGGTTGGAAATGAGTTGCAGTTTCACCCTGCAAACCTTTCCGGGTTTTATGGCTGTGTTGTTATGCTTCAAATAATGAAAGCCTTCATAGCTGATCAGATATTTATAATTCTCACGTGCACTCAGTTTGTTCACAACAGCAACACTAATCATTATTTTATTTAACGCCAAGCTCAGAAGAAAAAACATGAAATGATCTTCAGTTCACATTTTTCCTAATTTTATTCAAACAGAATTTTGTCAAATTTCAAACTAGACTAAGTTGTTGAAACGCGCACAAAAACACTTGTAGAAAGAGTAGCAAAATTTCTAGGTAGCAAATAACAAATAAATCTCGGTGGATTGACACTGTTATGGCTTAAATGGGGCTGAAAAGCGACGCCACCCTTGGGTAAACTCGCAATCTGGGTTTACGCGGAAACAAATCTTAACTCGACCGGGAAACATGCCCCTGGCGCTGCAATTAAACTTCAGCCACTTAGGACAAATGCGGTGATTTGGAATGGCTAGAGTTTTAAAATCCTTCTGCTCATTTCTGCTCCGAAGGATATAGAAAGAAAAGATACCAAGTGTCAAACTATATCAGAAATTTTTAAAGCAATAACTCAAAATTTTCATCTTGAAAATCAGCTGGCGACTATTTATGATGTTGGATCTACTTAACAATCTCCCCCCCCCCCCCTCCTCTATGGTACCTACTAAAGAATCTCCACCCCTATGAGCTTTCTATTGAGAATTTTAATCGACCATTTTGATCTAATCAGCAACCTCCCCCCCCCCTTCTTGAATGGGGTGGAGGTTGTTAAGTAGATCCATGATGTTTATCGAAGAGCTGGAAAACTAAACTTTTAAGAAACTTGTGAAATCAGGGTGATTTTGTAGGAGTATGAATTTGCTGTAGAATGAATTCTCCGAGAGTAAAATGTAAGAATTGACATTCTCAATCAGTTCAAATAGAAGAAAACCGGAATTGAGGAAGGTGATACAAAACAGCAAATTGTCAGCAAGTTATGTGAGTGTGTGTGTGTGTGGGAGGGGGAGGGGGGGCGGGGGGTACTTACTTGCAACTCTAATGCGTGTCTTGCTGCTGGAGATGTTTCCCCCTTGGGGGGCGAGGGTGAAGCCCACACACTGGCACCAAAAGCCACCACCAGAAGACTTGAGTTTGCTCTCAACATCCGCTTTGGACACATCTAAAAATTGTGAAGTATGTTGTAGAGAATCCAAAAGAACGAGATTAATTTTCAACATAGTTGCTTCTAATTAAAAGAGTAACAATTATGCTTAACAAAAATATACTGGCAAAAAAGCAATTAGTTTTCATTTTTTCAAAACATTTTGTCGAAGTTTTTGTGTTTTTCAAAGCAAATAACACTGCTTCTGTTAACAAGCAGATTTAAAAAAACTAAAAACATTCGAAGATTGGTAATGTGAAAAATTTAGGTTTACATTATATTATTTGGTTGAATTTTTAAATTTCAAAATAAATCTTTTTTAGTTTTTCAAAGTTTTTAACAAGGAGTGTGCTTTTTTGGATGTTCAAATTGTTTAATGTTTTGATGTTCAAATGATTTGCATTTTATGTTTTGCGGTTTGAAATATTTCATCCTTGAAATATAAAGAAATAATCGTGTCTTTTCGCCATTGGAAAATTTTTGGAAATTTCTTTTTGGGTCTGCGCAACTGGGTGGAAATAAAACCTAAAATACGATTGGTTGGACCAAAAATGAAAATCGATGTTTTTTCGTAGAAAAATATTTAAAGGAATGAAAAATTTATGAACGATCATAATGATATTTTAAAATTTTTATTAACTAACTCAACGTGGCCATATATTGCTGTCCTTGCCGAGTAAAATCTGCCTCTTTGGTCGGCACAAATCGGTCATTGCACCTGAACACCAATTTAGTCACACCCTCGGCCGCACACTGCAATGTCGCCACTCCTGACGACCCGACGAACACTTCGCTTCCGGGCTGAATTGTCCATACAGGTTGGGTACCACCGGTTGATTGTCGTCGCGAACGGGAGAGCTTTTGTCTGCTGTCGACATGATTCAAACTTTCTATAACTAAAACAGCAAAAATATATCATGACAAGCTCGATTATAAGACTGACGATAACTTTTTCATAAAAAATTTAAACAGTGTTTCATAAGTATCTTCCAGAGAACCTGATTAATTTTTCTGAAACACTAGAAAAATACTTCCGCTGCACGTTTTGGTTGAAAAAATAGCATTTTTATCACAGTAAATCATGTTTTATTTAGAATTCAGTTCAATGATTTTATATTTAGCTTCCCTCATAAATGAAACTAAGGTCAAAGGAAATGAATCACAAAATTTCTCTCTGACGTTTCGCATCAATGCACCAAATTGTTTCTGTCAATCTTCAAAAAAGATTGTTCAACTTTTCATCTCCGTTATAAAACAAGCATGACCAAATTTGTCTTCACATGTTTCAACGATGTTTTCATAAAACCATCAAATGTCTGATCTCAAGATGGCAATTTGGTAATAATATAAACTCACGTTTACTTAACTAAAACCACAGTTAGGTGTGTTTATAATAATATAATACCACGGGTCGAAGGTTTTTGTTAGCCATTGGGGGCTATTAAAACAATTATACAAATTCCAGCTAGTTGCAAAGTACAATAAACTGTGGCACATTAATGTTTTTGCCAACCATGAAAAGTAATTTTATTAATTCAATCAGCATGTTAACATGTATTTTTATACAATATAAGTTGAGTCTTGACTTTTCAGATGGTTGGCTGCTGTCGTTTTCAACTTTCTGAAGATTGTCTTTGTTCAATCAATCAATTCTGTTTTAAACTGATGACAAATCTTCAGCAAAATTGAACATGGTCGCGAGAGTAATTGCTTCTAGTGATTTTCTTTCAATATTTGGCCGAATCAATTCATGTTTTCTTCATCTATTACAGGTGGCTTGCAAAAAGGAGCAAAAAAGATGAAAAGAAAAAAACGGATATGATACATGGTAACATTCAATTAGCGCTGGTGATTAAATGTTCCTAAAATTCTTCAAAACATTGGAAACTTCAGAAGGAACATTTGAAAACTATGCCACCACCAAAAAATGTCCTAAACACAGTAGCGGATTTAGGGCGGGGGACGCTTCTTATCCTCAGGGATTCGACCCTGACTACCCAAAAGGGTTCTCGTTTTAGTACTATTTTAAGACCTCAATTTTTGGCCGGCTGACCCAAAAAGAGAAATCGGAAAATCAATTTGGTCGACCTAAAAAAAGTCGACAAAATTTTTGATTTTTTTTGAAAACCCTAGATTCGCCCTGCCTAAGCATGAAGTTTAACTTTTATTACATTAATTTAAGTTCTAAGCAATCCCACGGCAGTGTGGTATTCTAAGAAAAAAAATTCATAAAAAATAATTCATCCTGTGTCATAAGAGAGGAGGTCATTGGTAAAAACTTATCAGATTTGTCAGTATTTCCCACTTGTGTAAATATCCCACTGTACCTTGTACCCAATGCAATTTTCACCCGATTTCACAACAATACAAGAATAGGCGGTTAATGTGCAAGTAGCTCAGAAGTGTCCCACTCGGCCGTGATTGAAAGAAAAAATTTAAAACACTTAATTTTTTGTCCAAAACTTCTTGATTTCTATTTTCTATAAATGACGATGATTCGTTTAAGTGAAAAAATGCAAAAAAGTGAGACGTTTTTAAAAACTAATAAGACAACATTAAGATGGTATAAGAAATAATTTTGGAGGTCAGCCCCTAATCATATTCTTAAGGGCATTTGTCTGATTTAGGTTGAAAACAAAAAAACACAGATTTGACAGTTTTCTCTTAGAATTCAAATCATGGCTGAATGGGCTTCAATATGACAAAACTTTTTACCGCTACGAGTTTTCTCTGTGGTATTCAAAATTGGTTGAAAAAAAACACTTTACGCAATTGTTTCTTCCAATCGCGGGAACAAGGATACCACAGATTAAAGGATAAAAATTGATTTCAGATTGCATAATAATTTTCAGCAACCAAACAGTCACTCGTTAAGTAGCTTCCAAAATTGTAACTAGCAGTTTTTACGGAAATTTTTAACATCATAGTTGTGCTGAGCTTAAATTTATTAAGAAATTTTACCTGTTATCTTTTTCACAAAGTTATGGGGATTTAAACATTGCCAATTTGAGACAGTTAACGCGCAATATATTTTAAGCAATTAACGGGTAAGTTGAGTTTAATCCCCTTAGAAATTGTTCCAAATTTAATTCAGGCGAGGTTTTTGGGCTTTTTGAAACTTCGCTATACGCCAAACATAATACTTTGTTCTTGAAATGGACTGTGGGGGTTTGATTTTCAAAAAAAAAGAAATTTTGAATTTTCATTTATTTTTTTTGTAAAATTTCACCAATTTTTTAAAGACGAATACTATCAATGCACTGAGTCTGATATCAAAAATGATATCAATAAATCAAAAAATTTTCGAAAGCTATGGTGATGTTTTACAATTTCAGTGTACTGAGTTCAAAATCAATTACGGTTGTACTGAACTCGAATTCAATTATGACCTTTTGTCGAAAAGTTTGATGCTTGAAACGATTGACAGCTTAAACTGAGCTTAACAAGGCTTATATAAACAGCTGTTAAAATGGCATTTTTCTACAAAAAAAACGAGCACAAAACCATGTACATTAAAATGCATTGGAAAATTCAAGGCTTCGCCCTGGTACGAGCAATCTTGTACTATTTTAGAGAGCTTTTTCTAAAGTTTTTATTTAAAACACAAGACGTACGAGACGAATTGAATGAGAAGTCTTATCTTCTAACAATTTTCCAAAATTCCAAAATTTTGACTTATTTTATTGTCCAAAAAATTTCTAAATTGAACTGATGCAAACATTAAATTAACATCTTTCCAAGAAGGTGCAAAAATTGAACTGATGCAAACATTAAATTAACATCTAGACGTACGAGACGAATTGACGTACGAGACGTACGAGACGAATTGACGAATTCGTACGAGACGTACGAGACGTACGAGACGAATTCAAGACGTACGAGACGAATTGAATGAGAAGTCTTATCTTCTAACAATTTTCCAAAATTCCAAAATTTTGACTTATTTTATTGTCCGAAAAATTTCTAAATTGAACTGATGCAAACATTAAATTAACATCTTTCCAAGAAGGTGCAAAGCATTTCAAATTAATAGTAAACTAAAATTGAATAAAAAACTGTACAAAACGTACTATTTTGAAAGCAAACTAATTACAGACGAAAATCTACTTGAAATTACTTTAAAAAAAGTTAGAAAAATAATTTTTTGTACTATTTCAAAAACTTTTTTGGCTGATGTACCGTAAGATTTCTCGCTGATGTACCGTAACTATTTGGAAGGGTGAGCGCGCGAGAAAAACACGATGAACCCAATTTTTAGTTGAAACCTTTCAAAAGCTGCTCAATCAAAACAGCAAATTTCGATTTTGAAAAATTTGTCTGCGCAGAACTATTTCATATAATAGAGTTAATTTTAAGGCGTTTGAGATAGTTTGAAAAACAAAATTGATTGAGCAAAAAAATTCAAACTTTCTGCGCACTCCACTGAATCAAAGCAAGAAAAACTTCACCATTCTCTCATTTTGTAATAAATCGAGAGGTTTTCTCGAGAGGGCGGACTTTCAAAAAAAATATTGTCGACGTTTTTTTAGGTTGACCATATTGATTTTCCATATTCACTCAAACTGCTATAAAGACCTTATTTTGACCAAACTTTCTGAGCCGCTGACGAATTTTAGTACAAACTTGGCAAAAAATACCTTTTTGAAGGTTTCAACCAAAAAATGAAAGTTTTTTCGGCGAGCGTTCTCTCATCAAATTTAAGATAAAAAGGCTCCTTTAAAAAATTGTAGGGTCAGTCAGCCAAAAATTGAGGTCACAAAACAGTACCAAAATAGCGATGAGGTCGAATAGATATAAGTCAAGGTATATTAAGTGAAACAATATTTTACTATTTAAAATCACAGAAAGTAATAAAATAACTTAATTTGTGTTGAGTAAATTGATGTTTTAAGTATCAAGCTTATCTATCAACTTAGCCAACTAGAAATTAGGATTCCGAGTTTTTCCAGTGCTGAGGAAGATGGCAATTTTTTATCAGATACTTGTGAAACAAAGTCAACTTAATTCTCAAAAAATTACGAGGATAGCCTTTCTCTGTACAAGTGGCACAGAAAGTTCCGATTACGCTAATACACAAAAAACTCAAAAAATTAAAATCGAAAAAACCTGAGAGACGTTATACTGGGTAGTTATTAGCTGAAATAGCTGAAACTAAGTTCGAAGGTCAGCCTCTATTCAGCAAACCAGAAACATTCAGAGCCGTTTGAAAAAAGCTATTAACTCAAATTCTATCCTATTTGACAACGGAACTGCTAGCACCGGCTTTGTTGACTTTGGCTTTACTGGGCCCTTCGGAAAAAATTATCGTAACGGGAACATAAACTTGCCTGATAATTGAAGAAAGATGGCTGCTGTAACTATGAAGGTCTTGGTTCTCATTTTCGATTTTCTTCGTTTCTTCGTAAAAAATAATTGAAAAGAAAGTTCAAATTCGGCGCACTGATAAACTGTGCCTTTCAGATCGTTTTCAATTTTCGTTTTCCAGAAGTCAAGTTTCCCGTTTAGACAATAGGGTTAACTTGAGAGTAATTGACAAGCCATAAATTGACGTTAAAACTCAAATCGATACTATTCGACAGTACATGTCAACATGTGAAGTGATATATCATCTCAAAACACCATCTAACCATGGGTTATATATTTGTAATCTGGTGTAAGTTATAAATTATGATTGATCACGGCACAGGAAACTGTAACTACATGAAATGATGATTAACATACCGGTCTTAATGTATAGGTAATGCAAAAACCTGATTAGGATTTAGTGAAGGTTAAATTTATACCATGCTCATAACTGCGACATTTTGTCGAGGTGTATAACAAAACACTGTTATGTAACCTTTGATATCAAATAACTAAATCTGGTAATAAAAAGTGCGTATTATTAAACCGATTCATGAATTGTTTGAGATTCGATTAAAGGAATTTCGCTCAGAATGGGTTTAGAGAATTGTAGTTTTCTTTCAAAAATAACGGTTCAGCCACTAAGTAAACAGACGCAAATCAAAACCCAATTTTAGGGTCTAAAGATGGATCAAAGTTGAAGTGCTTAAAGTTTCACTTAAAATTTGAAGATTGAGCTTAGTTTTTCTGCGGCAATAATTCATCAATAATTTTTATTCTTGAAGGCACAACAAAAACTGATGAAGATTGATAACTTGTAAAAGCAGACACTACAAACGAATTGACAAATCAGATAAACTGTGATTCGACAATAGTTCGAATATTTGGTTGTTCTTATTTAAAAGTTTAAAAATTACAAGTAAGCAAATTAGCTATTTTTTTTAAAATAACTCATTTGTCAGTTTATTTGGTTTGTCGCGCATGAATGAAAGAATGAAAAAAATTCCAATTTTGTGAATGGCTGAAAAAAATTATCAATTTAATTTTTTTTCTACATGTGTCGCCTAGAATAAAACATTCAGCTCTTTTGTCCTTTCAAATATAGCAAAAAATTTAGAAGCTAAGCAGATACTTCAAATTATATTCAAGAATTCACTAACAACCGTTTTATGAGTTTTTTAAGTTTATCAGGGAAAATCAAGCGACACTTGAATAAAAATGACACACTAACGAATCTTGTTATTTTTCTGCTATTCCTGCAGTCTTCAGTCTTAATCTGATATTCAAAAACAGGACAAAAATAAAAAAGAGTATTTTTCTCAACATATTCATTTGCATTTAATGCTTGGTAACTATAAGCCAAACGGAAATACAGGAAAATTGGGACAAAATTCTGTTTTGAAATAAAATGAAATAAAGGAAAAATGGGAAATAATAACTCAAAAATGAGAAGGAAAACACCAATTTGAGGTGCTTTTTTCAGGTAGGGAGGCTATTAAAAATGAAGAAGGGGATTTAATATACTGGCGTCTATCTAGAGGCGTGTGTTAAAATTCAGGGGCTTCGTAAACAGGAGAAATAGGGTACAAGAAAACATTACTAAGACATTTGCTCTTTTAAATTCTTACCAATGAACCAATGTAATTCGAGATAAAAACAAGTCCAACTATAGTTGCGAATTTAGGCAGATATGAACAAATAATCATGGCTGAGGGATTAAATCGATTTGGAATTGGGAATAGCTTCTGTTATCCTCAAAAAAATTATGACCTAATTTGAGGGAATTTCTGACTTTTTATTGTCATTTCAAATTGATTAATCTCGTTACCTTACAAGAGGTCAATTTTTATTATCATAAAGGATTACTTTTCGGATAATTTCTGGTAGTTAGAGCAAGCTTTATGTAAAGACGAAGCTGAAAAATTCGCACTGAAATCGAATCAGAAATCAGATTAAAATTCTCTGGAAATAACTCTGTCAATTTATTCGGCTGACTCAGAAAAAAATGAGTGAAAGGCCAAGTGCGCATTGTAATCAGGAAAAGGTAGTCAAATTTAATAGCAAAAATGAAAGGCCTCTTGAATTTTAACAGGAAGGGTTATTTTTACAAAGGATTTAGTGTCATCTTAACCTTCCGCTAAAGTTCAATCACATTATTTATCTTCGCTTAAGGGCTACTATTTTTTAACCATTCAATAGCTAAAGGCGCTTTTAAATACACACCTTTTTTCAATAAAACCACTTTAAGAGTAGATTTTAAGATCTGAAATTCAAAATGGCTGTATCTGTGGAAAATAAATATGATAGAAAGAATCCCTAGTGCTTTTTGAAAATTGCTGAAAGCTTATAAATTTTTCAGTAATATGAGAAATCGACTGCAAATAAAAATCAGATGATTAATATTAAACGCAAACAATCCGACATAAGGAATTATAGTTCAAGATGGCCTGGAATTTTTAAGCATTAATGAACAAATTGCAAATGGCATAAAAAGACACACAAACAATGAATTCAGTGTGCCATTTTGAGGATGAAATTTTCGCTTCGGAGCCAGAAAAAAATAGTGAAAGATTTGATTCAAACTTTACACAGCACACATGAAGATTTCATATTTCAAAACCATGAGAAGGGTCTTGTTAAATTCTGCTGAAAAAGGGTTTTTCTACCCGAAAGCAAACGTAAGTGGTAGGATGAAAACACAAAAAAAAACTGATACTCTTGTAGAAATGGAAGAACGCCGTTTATTTGAGGAACCCGTATACGCAGGGGCGGACTTAGGGGGGGGGGTTCTTCTTTTCTCGGGGATTCGACCCCCTGCCGACCCAAAGGGTCCCCTTTTGTACTATTTTGAGATATCGGAACCTATATTTTTGGGATATCGGACTATTTTGAGATAACGGACCCTACAAACTTTCTAAGGGAGCCTTGGGCGCTAATATACACTGATTTTGAGGGGGGAGACCGCGCCCAAAAACGCCCCTTTTAGCCTGTTTTTTAAAAATTTTGCCTGCAGCGCAGAAAATTTGGCCAAAACTGGGTCTTTTTAGTGCTTAGGGCGAACGCGGAAAATCAATTTGGTGGACTTAAAAAAAAACGTCGAGAAAATTCCCCGCCCTCGAGAAAATCCTAGATCCGCCCCTGCTTATACGCAATAATTTGGCTTGATATTTGTGCAAATTTGCATTAAACCAGCATTGCAACTGCATATATTGACCTAAAAAAATAAAATAAATATTTTCACAATGCCGCTAGAGATTGTGTAGTTAGATTCCTTACAAAAATTACGCGAGAAATTCTAAAAAAAGAGTATTTTTTGAAGCAAATTCAACAAGATAATTGATTTCTAGACGACCTGATTAAATACTTTAATCGAAGTTGGAGTCGAGATATAATTGCGGTAAAACCCTAATAGTACAGGTCGCATTTTGATCAGACTTCTTGGTTTGACCTTTACAAAAGAAAAATGCTGCCCATGCAATTGGATAAAGGAAGCCGATAAAAATATTAGTCAGACACTTTCACTCTATGAAAATTGTATGACTAGCCTTTTTCAAAACAGCATTTTCTTCTGCAACAACAAATGTGTTCAAATTTGAATATGAGGACGCTCATAGTTGATACATAACTTGTAATGGTATTGGAACTCACTTTAGAGACTACAAGCTCCAAAAAAATGATAAAATCTTTTTTCGTAAGGAATTTTTAGCAATAAAAAATCTATGAATTACTATGAAAGTTTTATGGCTAGTTTTTAAACCATTCCAAAAAATACCAAACTGGGTAAAAATTATTATTTTTTTGTCAAATTATAAACAGGCAATTTCCAAAAAAAAATGATTTTTTTTGTCTTTAATGTAGTCCAGACAGCGTAATTTTAAACAAATAAAAACATCAGTTTGAGTGAAACCAGAATTCTGTTTTCTTTTTATATGGTAGGATCAGGCCGGAATTTTCAATAAATCAAATTTTACAGATCAAAATTTAAAGGTGAAAAATCAGGCCGGAATTTAAAATAAATCAAAATTTAAAAAAAAGCGTCATAGCCGTACAATAATCAAAGTTTTTTGATATAATTGAGCCTGGAATTCCAAAATAGTAAAACCAAATGCAGTTTATCTCCAAATGCCAATTATTTTTTGTGGTTTTCTTGCCACCTAAGCTGTTGGTTTTTTCAAATGAGAACATATTTTATGAAATGTTTCAATAAAAAACAAAAACATGAAACCAAAACAAATGCTAGCTCTGTAGTTTCTGAGAATGAAGAAAACGCAGTAAAGAAAATACACAAAAGTGAAATGGTGTGGCAAGCTTTTTTTTGTCAACTTTTGTTTTCAAGCTTTTTTTTCAACCCCAAAACCCAGTATAACAAAGTTACCATCATAGTTACCCAGCATAATAGTCACCTAGCAAAAGGGTTATAACTGCTTTAGTAGATCATGTCATTAAATGAAAACTAACTCTGAAGCAATAACGTCGTCAAATTACACATTTTTTTCAAATAGCTCTGAAAAACAATTGAAGCATTAGTTTTTTTTGCTGATCGAAATGTGAGATGTTTTAGACGAAAGTGTGTCTTAAAACAAAAAAAAAACTTTAGAATTTTTTGCGAGAGCAGGAAACCAAACTGTGAAAAAAATGAGTTCCATTGAATTTTTCAGATACGAGCGTTTTTTTAGAAAACTTTACGTCTAAAATTTTTAGTGAATGAAATTTTTGTTCTCCTAGAAAATGCCTTAAGTCTAATTGATCATGAAAATGCTGAGAAGCACTATAAGCAAAAACAATTTTAAAATTGGTTATCAAACTGTGCCGCTTGAATGTTTTTTGTTTTTACATCAACTTTATCTTTTCAAACCGTCTACTAATTTTCCTGCATGTGTCTTTTTTTCTCACTTGTTTTCCTTTTTAGAGAAGTTTTAAAAAGTTTTTTTAAAAAACTTTCAGAGTACTTTCATTCCACAGTCAAAATTAATTTTCTGTTTTGTTCGAAGTCTCAGAAATTGAATGTGTTGTTGAAATGCAGCAACACATAAAAAATTACGCCTAATTTAACTTCGATACTGACGAATAATGTAATTTAAGTTATTTGTAAAATGAGTTTACTGTATTTGTTTTTGATTGCTCAAATATTTGGTTGTCTGACGATTTAAATTGTTAAGATTAAAAAAATGCGTTTACCTAACAACCATTTAAAAAAAAGACTTTTGAAAATGAAAATACCAAATTATCAGGTACGAAATAATCAAAAGCGGATGAAGTACAGTAGAGAAAGATTAAGTAGCTTAGATAAACAAGACTGCCCGTATCAGGGCAAAACCCTGAAATGGTTTATGGAGCAGCAATAACAGAAAAAAGTTAAATGTAATAAGAACAAAATGAAACAATTTTTTTTTCTAAAATTTGAGACTTTTTTTGTGAAAATCATCCCCTCACACGCCATATAAAGTTTAAAAAAGGAAAAAATAAATCAATCTAGGCAAATACGCTTCTTTCAACCAATTTGGAACGATTACTAAGACGGTTTTAATCTCCGCTTACGCGTTCATTGCGCGAAATATATTGCGCGTTAATTGTCCCAAATTGGCCCAAATGGCAACCTTTAAACCCCAATTACTTTTAAAAAAATGATTACAGGTAAATTAACTTTTCAAATTTAGGCTCAGGACAACAATACTTTTTGAAAGATATCAAAAAAGTTCCGTCAAAATGGCTAGTTAAAAAGTCGAAATTTGTCTGAAGAAAAAACCCACCCCAAGCACAAATATTCCGTTGCTTACGTCACGAAATTCGGAACAATGATAGTTGAAACAAGCAACATTTAAAGCAACCGCTTGATTGAATAATTCCAGAAAAAGCACCTTCAGGTTAACAAAAGCTTGTTTTTTAGCAAAAAACCAGACCATTGAAATGAAAGTTTTCGGAGCTTGGAGTCATAGTAAATCACCTAAAAAAACAAGAGTCATCAATCTTCTTAACAGAAAATTGGTGACATTACGCAGCAATTACCATGATTTTAGTTGTTAAAATCATAAATATTTTCTGTTTTAATCCCAATTTAGAGAGACTCGTGGCGGAGGAGTTAATGCTTTGGAAGAATCATTTCAGTTAGAGTATTTTTAAAAAAAGCTAAGTTAAAGTTTCAACCACAAAAAGTGTTGTTGAATCACTGACTGCAAGAAACAAACAAATTTTAACTAAAGTATTGTCAAATTTTTAACTTTTTTGAAAAATGATACATAAATTGAGTGATGCATTCAAGTTCACTGATTTTGGTGAGTTGTTGGAATTGTTTTTTCAACATTTTAAAGAAAATTTTCTTGATAATTGTTCAACTGAAAAAGTGATATCAAAAAGTGTCTTAAATAATCGAACTTTGAAGAATTAAGAGTTTGAAAACGTTGGAAAGGGAATAACAGCATTGATCTTAATTTTTTACCGCAAATTAAATCAAATTTTTTTCAACTAAAAATGTTGAATGAAGACAATGATTTGTTACAGAGCATCAGAGGTTCAATTATTACTGATATTTTTGTTATATTTATTACTCAAATATCCACACTTTTAAAAAAAACTTTAATATTTGACAAGAAAGTTTTCAGTAAAATATCCATATTTGTTTTTTACCTACTACTTTTTCCTTCTTTCTTCTAGTCTACTATCTCTGTTTTTTGACGTTTGGCTTGTAAATTGCAGAATTTTTTTCACAACTAGACGTGTTTTTGGCTTTGATTCAGCCTTTCATTTTTATTCAAAATTTGTGGGTTTTTTCACTAAT